TGGCTTTGGCACAACTGAAAGAAAAGGGCAGTTCCTCTTGCTGCTAGTTATGTGGCCAATCCATCAGTGATCATGTGGGCAGCATGATGGTGTCATGGTACAAATAGTCACTCAGATTCAGCTATGTGATCCTGAAGCCAAAGCAGGGGCAGCAACACTTCCTGCCTGTAGTCTGAACATAGGAGCAGTTCCCCCATGCCACAGGCCCTCCAGTTATTAGTAAAAGAGGATTACTACCCTTTCCCAATTTAGCTTATCTCATCTATGTGTGAGACAATGCTACAACAGGGTTTGCTACGTTTTACTTATCTGTTTAAAATCCTCATTTGTGTTTAAGTGGCAAGCATTGTTTTTACTAGGTTCCGCAGCTTTCTTCTATATCCTCAGCAAAATGTGACCAATCATTGCCTTCTAATTTATAGCAAAGTTACCTCAGAGAAGGTACACAGAAGGCTCCAATCATCTAAAATTAAGTTCATTTTTTTAAAAATCCTAACTTATCCCTGCCAATTATCATTGTGCAGTAAGCAGAATATAGCGGAGTAGCATGGGCCCCAGTGAAATCAAAACAGCCTGATATTACAAGTTCCCAGCCTCTGAGCTGGCCAAAATCTTCCACCAGTGAGGTTTGACTGCCACTAGAACCCTTCATTAGAAGGGCGAATTACTTGTTACTCAGTAGCTGCCAAGAATAACTTACACATCATCCTCTGACTTCAATGCCAGGATCATGCCCTGTCAAAATAAGCTCAGTCCATGAAGTCAAGCTTTTGCCTGACGCACACCCAGCATGTTAAAATTAGTCTTTCATGCAAATGACGGTAAAGGTCATGGGTGTGACAAAATCCTTTGGAACTAAAAAATCTAATGCATGCCTTAATTAGCTGCTACAGTGCTGACAGTAAGTGGCTTAGCAATCAACCTATTTGATCAGTAGGAATAATTTTAATTATCACGTCTCCTTGTTTCCCTCAAAAAGTGGTAGAGAAAGAAAACCCACTTTTTGGCTCCATGTGTCAGTAGTGCTGCCACTTAGCCTGACTGAATTAATGCCTTGGTTGAAATTAGTTGCAAATGAAATGCTCATCCCCAAGCCCCATTAAAATGTCCAAGGGGGAGTAGATAGACGTGTCTGTCTATTCCAGGGATCCCTTGGTGGTATACCGTCTCTCCATGTGCCCTGCACATAAGACGCTGCGCACCATCCCCTGCCTGCAGTGCCCCTCTTCATAGGAGCTGGGCCGCGAAGTAGCCCAGGGGCAAGGGCTGCTTTTTCCCACAGCAAAATATCCACAGGATTCAAACAATTGCTCAAAATCATGGCTGATGCCGAAGTCCAGCGTTTGGGGGCACCTGCTGAGGACACACATCCTAGCGGGGGCCCTCCCACAAAAGCCTCCCGGACTTGTTCCTCCTCCTCCCCTTGTGAGTGGCTTGTTCTGACCCAAACAAGGGTGGTGGGGAAAAGGAAGAGCAGCGGAGGTTGCCACCTCCTCGTCCATTGGCTCTCTACCTTGCAGGCATGTGAATAGAAGCAAAGAGGAGGAGGAGCAAGAGCAGTGGGGATCATGGCAAAAGAAGGCAGACTCACCAAGGGAGGAGTTCTTGAGGGTGCTTTGCCCACGAACTCAAAACTTGGAGCCATCCCTACTTGGAGTGCTGGCAAGACATTTGGGACTTCATTGTAAGCACTGTCCTTTTCGTGAAGGGCCTTCAGTTATAGCCCATGATCATATACACACTCAGCTGGGTGTAAATCCCATGGAACTCAGAGGGTATTCCTTCCATACACATGATTGTTCTCTCAGTGAATGTTGGTTGATAGGGGTGTGTTTGGGTTTATTCTTTCTGGGTTTTGCTGCTCTACTTCTTTCAAGTTATTTATTTTGTTATTTATTTTTATTTACTGCTTGATATAATACAGTCTCTAAGCAATTTACACACAAAAACACTGAAGACAATCAAATGAACCTCTTAAGATACATAACTAGTGTTATGCTTATTTCATCTATTTACGCTGCTCTTTACGGGTGGGACCTTCAGGAAACCCACATCATCTGGAGACGTGGCCTTTATAATAGTGAGTTTTCCCCTTTATAATAGTGAGTTTGAATTGTCCCTTCCATGGAATTCAGTGTCTTGGTTTTTGCCTCAGTGCAGTCAACTTCACAGCCTTGGAACCTAAGTAAGCTTTAGATTTGGTAAGCATAATTTAAAAAATCTGGTATAGCTGTGCAAATTTGATAGCCATGGGCATTCATCTCTAAGTTCTCAGCTATTTACAGGTGAAAGGAGGAGTGGGAATCAAAAAACTACAACCTCTTGCCCTACACAGGCACAAAATGTGGCCTAGAGCCAGGGTCTGATTCATTCCTTGAGAAAGCTTTCATGGGAACCATCCACAAGGGGAGGAGAATTGTTTGGGATGTACTCAGTACAAGAGGGTAGAGGAGAAAGGCCTTGAAGTGTTACTGGTTTATGATCAGATTCAGTTGATAGAACAGAGTAATTATTAATGAGCTTTGAAATCATGCCCTTCTTTATAAGCTCATGCAAAAAGAAGCCTTGCTAGCGTCAATGCCTTTTGTGGCTTGGAACTCTCTCTCTCTCTCTCTCATTCCCCCTCTCCCCCACAACCCCCAGCCTCCTGCCCACCCTGCTTCATGTTTGCTTACTGGATTGCTATTTGAGCGTAGCCTGCTCATATGCCTAGCAGCCTGTTTGGGACTTGCATCATGAAAACTGGCGTCTATTGCTAAACAAGGATTCTGTAACTGTGTTTAGCTCCTCGCTGTGGGCACTGCTGCCTTGTCTGCCACCAGGGACTGGAACAACCCAGGACTTGCCCAAACCCAAGCCTTGTGTGTGGCTGGGCTCCTGATCGTTGAGGTCTGCCTGGCTTTGCTTGATTTGGATCTCCATCAAAAGTGGGCCTGTCTGTTGAACTGATGTTTGCCTTGATGCACCTTCCTGAACCACATCTTGCACCGCATGGAATATTGTCTTCCCTGGGCTAATGTGCCCCTTGGCATTGGCTGGTATTTTAAACCATTGCATGCCCAACTTGAAAACTTTCATTAGGCTGATCTCTGACACTGTTCTTGTTATTAGCCTAATTCTGGAACCAAGATCTGCTACAGTCATTTTACAGTGCAGCCCCTAAGCAGGGAGCCCATGTGCTGCTCAGGATTCCTTCTGGCCCACTTAATTCCTGAAGTGCCAGACTTAGTTCAGTTTGGACCCCACCAGTGTGAAAATCTTAAATGAGAAATTTCTCCAATAAGCCAAGACTCTGCCTTTGCCTAATTTATTATTGTATTCTATAATCTAAGTCAGCTTGAGGGTCCTGCACATAGAGATGTTGCATTTAGTAATGTCTCTGTATTGCCTGAGGTTCCAGCCATGACCTCTCCAGAATTGTGAACAATAACTTGTTCTGAATCATGTACTGTGAAATCAGCAGCAGCAGCAGCAGCAGCCTGTTCCAACTAGTGGGACTCAAGGTGGCTTGCAACACTAAAACTGTATACAATTAAAGCAAAGATATGCAAAAGTTAAAAAATATAAGTAAAATTATATAAAACATCAAAATTAAAAATGCAGTATATATAGATAGACTAAAGCTAGTCCATGCAGTCTCACAGATCCAGACTATTCCAAAAGGCCTGCTAGAACAGAAAGCTTTTTGCCTACTTCCGAAAACATCTATCCACTCTGGGCAGGGCATTCCAAAGCCTTGGGCTAGCTGTTGAGAAGGCTCTTTTCTGCATTCCCATGAAATGTACCTGTGCAGGAAGTGGGAACAAGACAAATCCACTCCCCACCCCCCCAAAAAAATCTTAGGACTTGAAGAGGCTCATATAAGCTTCTGTATAGCCCAAAGTGCCTGATCCTGCCTTATCTTGGAAGCTAAGCAGGGTCAGGCCTGCCTGAAATTTGGATGGGTGAATATAGGTTGTGAATTGCCCAGAGAGCTTTGGCTATAGAAATGTAACGTAATGTGATCATGATCATCATGATGGAGAATACAATACAGCCTTTCAGATAGCTTGGTCCTGAGCCATATAGGTCATGCCAACAGCCGCCGCGATAGATGCATTCCTTCCCTAACCCCTTTCAGTCAACTTTTTGCACTGTTTAGGATTGCTCTGCAGATGCATTCAGCCTGCTTAGCTTCAGCAAGGCCCTTCTTCATGCCCCAGGACCCTGAACCAAGCTTGAATACAGATGGGCCCTTTGACCCAGGGCCCCCCACCCTGAACCCACATTTCACGTGAGTCCTTTTGACCACACAGAAGTCCTGTTAACTCACTAAACAGGGACCACAAAAATGAGCCACTGGTAATTTTGTAAACCGTCTTGAGATTCTCTAGGTATATAAGACCGTGTAAAAATTTTTAAAATAATGTAAATAATAGTGCAATGGTTTTGTACAGTGCACAAAATCGCGATCATATTTTACCACCAGCACCATTTGTTACCAAATGGTTCTAAGACAGGGGTCTCAAACTCAACTTACCTGGGAGCCGCTGGAAGTAGAGTCTGGGTGAGGCTGGGCCGCTTCAAGCAGTGGTGGTGGGCCGCTCATCCCGCATCGCTCCTGGAGGCTGGCCTGGGCACCGCCGGCGCTTGGAAGGCCGCAGGGCCCCTCGCCCGTGCCCCGCCAGTCCCGGCAATTGAGACCCCTGATCTAAGAGGTGCCTGCATTATCTCACCTTCGCTGTTGCATGACAGGTAGGAGAAATGCAAGGGTAAAATAAAGTTGGTCCAGTCTATCCTCAGGTTGCAACTTTTACTTCTCTACTGAAGATGGGGGAACTAGCTATGGTTACTGTATTAAAAAAAAAACAAAACCACGCATCCCAAGCTATAACAATCTAGTATTATTAAACACAGACAGACAGAGCAATAGTGCGGGAGGACAGAAGAATTTGTAATTTATTCATAAACTGCTAAGCCATCATAGCCAACTTTTTAAATGAAATGTGATAGTTGTTTAAATATTTACCAGCTTGTTGACCTATTTTCTCAGTTAATTAGGGATTGCATTAACAATGTATTGAATATAGGCAGCTTTTAAATTAAGCAGTCCAACTATTGTGGGTTACACAAAGTTTTTATTCTGTTCAATAAAGCTAGAGAAGAAAATTTCCATTAAAAAGAACTACCCATAATACAAATAAAACTAGATCCGTCATTTTTCTTATGACTCAATAGCCAAATGCAAACTGTCAGAATAACATAATGAATATAAAAACAACATTAATTTCTATTGTTGTCAACTTTTTTTACTTCTACTAAATAATACTAAGAGTACTTCATTGAGCTCAGGAATTATTCCAGTGAAATGTTTTGTAATCTTTTTCTTCTAATGAGAACAAATTTGTACTTTATTGTACTGAATCAATAAATCAATACTTTATCAGTTTCATTGGCACAGCTTTTATTTCCCTCTTTAAGCTGAATCTCTCACAGCAGCCGCAACCTGTACTTGTGCTGCTGAAAATAACTTGGGAGAGACGCCATCACACAAACTGTAAGGCCTTCCTTAAGGAAAGTCTGTGAGGTGTTTGTAGCATGGATTTCTTGTTTGATGATTGTATCATGTACCCCCCCCCCTCGCTTGGGTTTCCCCTATGGGTGTTTTGGTATTATTAGCTGTTGGTCTGTGCTCAAAATCCTAATTTTACTTGATGTGAAAGGTTTTTATTTTTATCTGTTTCATAAGTTGCCTTCAGCAGCTCATATGGAAACCAAAATCTAGAATTTAATATTTTAATACATAAAACCTAGAGGAGTAAGAGGAGGCACCCATGGTTCATTCTCAATGTAGAGTGCCCACCCGTCCTCCCTAGCAGAGGATGCACCTCTGTTTGAAGGCATCTTCCACCTGAAGGACTGGTCTGAAACATCCTAAGACAGGAGGGCCACAAGGCAATGAGGCTGCATTACTGACTGGACAGGCACACAGCGACTTCTCCTCCAAGGTGGGATGCACTGCATATTTCTGTTTACAGCAATTTATTTCTAAGTGCGCTTCTGTATGTACCAATCAGCACGTGCAAATATGTATCTTCATGTTCGGTGAGGCCTTCCCACTGTTTTGATCGCAGATGGCTGGCCCCCACCTTATGTGTGCTGCCAGGGCCTCTTAACCATAATGGAAACCTGCCTTGGCTCAGGCAAAATAAAAAAGTGTAAGATTTACAAGTGGGACCCCCGCAACAGTAGGAAATGCTGCTGCTCAGTGTTCTGGGCAGCCAGGCCCTCTTCCAGGAGGCTCCACTAATTCCTTCCATGGATTTCTCTGTACCCTTTCCAGTCATCAGCCAGTATTGCATTGCTATCAGTATCATATCAGTGCTCCTCAAGCTTTTTGGGATTTAGGGTGCTACCCCCCCCCCCAACAAGTTTTGCACTTCTGCAAAAAACATTTTTCCCCCAGGTCAAGGATCTCTCTCTCTCTCTCATGCTTGCTGTTTTGGATTCCTAATGCCCAGCAACATGGGAACTGGGTTCACTATTAGTATACATTATGCTTATTCCAAGCTTAAAAATAAACAATCTGCCACAATGGAATCTGAATCTTTTGTATCAGGCTGAGCCAATGCCACTGAAACAACATCCCTTGACATGGCACGACCTGACTCAGAATAAAGTTTCTTCTGGAACTTCAGAGTGCTAAAAGCCTGCAAAAGTTGGGACTGGGGCATTATCTGGGTTTCCTGAGATGACCTAAGATCTCTCTAGTCTTCAGTAACACCATGTACCAATAGCTGCATAGAACTGACCTGAAGTAGAAAACAAAGCAAATGCCAGCTGTGAGGCTTAAACATGCCAGCTTATCAAGGTGCAAATGGCCAGGAGAAGTTTCCCTCCATTTACACCTGATGAAGAGCCATGTTCCTCTCCAAAAAGGTGGCATTAGCTGTGTCTTTGTTTCCTTCTCAGAGATCAATTTGCCATACAGCCAGCCAGCCTTTGCATCCTGTGGATCAATTTTCTTAACTGGCAGCATTGCTCTGTTTTGTTCTGCTAAACAAAAAGCTAGTTCAAGTGGCAAATTTGACCAATTTGAGACAAAGGACACACCAAACCAGAGGCATCACAACTTGAGTGACAAGAGAGGTGAGAGCTGCTGCTGGCCTGAAAGAAAGAACTGTGGGACCAACAACTTTTATTGTTGTGCTGTTGTTTGGTTGGTTTTGTTCTTTGCAGAGACTAGGAGTAAACACTCAGCTGCCTAAGGACATTCTCTTTTTCTGGTGGTACCTTAAGGCAACAAAGGAAACATAATGGCTGCAACAACCCAATCTATAAGCAGGTCTAGAATATCAAGTGGATTAAGTGAAACATTCTGAACAAAATGTCTATTTGCATTTTCATAATATCTGAAAGAAAGAACACCTACATTTAATAATATCTGTAAAGAAGTTAAAATATGCCTGTAGTGCAACCAAAACATGTTGATATGGAGCTTATTTGCGTAGATGATTATATGCAATTGTTCTCTTTCCTGCATTGTTATTAAATTTTACCATAATCATGCAGACAAAGATGAAGCTACATGACCTTAAAAAAAAAACAAGAACAAGAACTGGCAGGTAATCTAAAGAGCAGCTTTTTTCCCACTGCCTGGTGGGCTGATCCAGTTATACTCGGCCTGCACCAAGACAAAGCTATTTTCTCGGATCTTTCTGAAATGCATCATCTCCCCACTGTCTTGGAGTGCAATGACATTGTTGTCTGGCTCGCTGAAGGACACTTCAGTTCGCCTGTGACAATACTGGGAATGGATGCAACGCAGACCAATGGCCACAACCATGCCCAGCACAACAGAGCAGCCAAGGAGAACGCCGAACTGAGCTGCCATGAGCTGTGACCCTTTGTGCAGCTTTCCCCCTCCTTCCCTCGAAACAGCCACTTTCGGTAGAGCTCTTGTCACCTTCAGCAGCGTGTTGCCAGGCACATCCTTTCCCCCCTTTTCCTCTTGCCCAGGTGCTGTGAGTTCTGCCTCGGGTAAGAACTTTGCTGGGGCTTTCTGAGTCACTGGCTGTTTCTCCATAATTTGTTGTGAAGCTGTTAAGCTCTGGTAGACATTTGTGTCCTCTTCGTGATCTGAATTCTCTGCTGAAAGCAAGGAAGAGTTCCATAACTGGACCAACACTGAAGATGCAATGGGTGGTGCAGATTTGCTTATGCCTGGGTTAAATGTTGCTGAAACCTCCTTAAAAAACAAAGAGATTAAAAGCATATTGCACACAACAGCCATATCTTGACTGAGATTTACAACTTCGTTGTACATCACTGGATCAAAGCTATGTTTAATAGAGCATTTTAAATTCATTGTTATCAAAGGGGGATAAGCATACGTCTACTTCAATTGACACCATTTCTAACAGGGAACCGCTTTCATAACAACTGTGTACCACTTCCAGAGAGCCACTAAAAAGGAACATACATATGAATGCTGAATGATACAAAGGATAAAGCACTGGAGAATAACTTATTTTCTAGGACCACCATTCTGGCACTCAGTGTTCTCAGTTTAGAAAGACAACTTTGCTCAGAGAAGTAATAGCACTACCTGCTGGTCTTCAGAGAGAAAGATGGAAGTTTTTCTAATGGTGGCACTATGTAGGCCAGGGGTGGGCAACACATGGGCAATGGATTTCATGTCCATATGCCCCACAAGGGTTTTTTGCAGCTCCTCTGGGCTTTCTGCCTCCGTGGAGCAGCTGTGTTGGTGTCCCAGCAATTCTGCTGGGAAACATGGTATGCAGGGAACATCTACCCTGTTTCCCAGCAGAATCTCCAGTTCTGCAGATAAAAGGGCATATGAGGATCACACATCTTGTTCTTCTGCAGAATCACATTCCCCCAGCTCACCAAATGGATGCTTCCCACATGGCTTGTTCCCCAACAGAATTGCTGAGAATGCACCATGTGGCCACATCTGGCTGCAGGGTGCCAGTGGTGGGGGACACGTGCAGCCCCTGGAAGGTTCTTGGGGGTCCAATGCAGCTCCCCTCAAAAGCTGCCCACACCTGACTGAGGCATTCACCCAGCGTCCATGGGAAGGGATGTTACCTAGGAGTTTCTTTACTTCACTTGCCCTTGCTTCTCAATGCATGGTTGAATGTTTGCATAAAGATATGAGCAGCTAGTCATAGTTACAGTCAGTCATCTATTCAGTTAAGAACTGGAAAGCAGCCTGGAAGCACTTACACTAAAGCAGTCAAGCTTAATAGCAGAAACAGGAACAAGGTGTGGTTGGAACAGCTAAGGCTGTTAAGACTATTTCCATACATGACATTAAAAAGCATATTTGACTGCTTTGGACAATGTTTTTGCAACATCATATTCTTGTTAATGTGGGATAGCATAGCAGATAAGGGAAAGTTAAATATGTACTCTGGCCAATAAAAGTCGTTCTTCCACACCCAGTTAAGCATCAACTAATTTTAACTTCAGGTGTGAAATGGTGGTGGGACGTTCAATAAAAGATCTTTTCAGTGCAAGATGGGGCAAAACAGTTTATCCAGACAGTCAGAGAATGTCCCAAATGAGATTATGTGGGAAGCACCTATTCAGTGTGAGGAGATGGTACTTATACTTCTCTTCTTCCAGAATGCTCTTGCCAGAGATCTGAACTGAGCGCACCAGAGGCCTCTGAAATGAGGCTGAGGGATGTCCACCCTTGGGCTGCAGGTTCTCTGTGCCACCTTGCTATTCCCACTAGCCTCCCATATCCCTGCCTTTCATCTCCTGTGTGACTTGGAAGTCTGCTTGGCACGTCCAATTCTACATTTTCCACAGTGCCCAATATCATGCCCACAAAGAAATATTTAGAAATAGATATAACTGTATATATAGGTATATACACAGGTAGAGCTGATATAACGGGGAATTTTTGGTCATGGAAAGAACATGGCCAGTGTCCTGTCTATTGTCTAGCAGCAAATAATAAGAAAAGTTTAGTCTTCTCCACCAGAGCCATTAGCAGCTTGTGGAAGTCACAGTGTGAAGCAAGTATTTCTCTGTACTGTGTAATTGCCTCTAAACACAGACATGGCAGAGACAAATATGATCAAAAAGTGGATGCACTTCTAAATTGCCCAATTTTAGTGTAAAAACCCAAACAACCAGCTGCCTCCTATCTCTACAATACCTCTGGATTATCAGACCCACATTTAGAATCCAACGTGCTTGGAAAATATGCATAAGGACCCTGTTAAGAGAGCAAGGTTTAACTGCAACATAATTTCAGAGGGTCTGCTGCCCTCTAACTGGAATAAGTGAGCACAGCATTCATGCCTCCAAATATACTGAAGTGAGGCAGATATAAAGGAACTGTGTCAAGATGCAACATCAAAGTATTGACTAGCCAACCTTCTATACAAGAGTTGCCATCAGGAGTATGGCAGCCCTGGGGCCTGCTCATTCAGAGCATGTTCCACAGCAGGTGTTGACTGAAAAGGATCCTGCAGCTTCCAACATGTCCCACTGCTAAATGTCAGCTTCTAATGCAGCAATCCTACACTCCTGTACTTGGCTGGAAGTCTTGTTGAACTAAACGTGGGTTACTTCTGAGTAGGCCTACATAGGTTTGCAATGAAAGTGATGCAGAAGTACCTTGAGTTCCCCATTTTGAAAAGAGAGGTACAGATTTCTCCAGTAATCAGGGTATTTCAAATGTTGGCTTACTCAGTCACAATTATAACACCCCTGTGAATAAGAAGCCAGGAAGCAAAGCTGTCACCCATGGGCCTTTTTCTGTTATCCTTGTACAGGATTGCACCTTTAGACTTTCTGAATTATGGAGGGGGAGAAGTTATGAGATTACACCAGTGTTTAAATTTATGCTACCTTCCAATGCTTTAGGAGGAGCAAGTCATCTTGTGCTGCTCCTTCTGGACCCAATTGCTCTGTGGTCAGCACTTGGCCTACGCCTGAGAATTACTGGATTCAAAACCAAACAACTCTTAATGCTAACTAGGTTACAACTAATTAAGCACATCAGTTCTGGCCATCCAGGCTTACCGAGAAACATTAAATAACCTCAGGCACAATCCATATATGCCAAATGTTTATTTTATGCTTATTTATTGTTTTTATTTTTACTATAAGGCTTATATTGTGATTCCTTAATGTATTATAAACTGAGCTGAACTAAATTGTACCGTTTTAATTGTTGTTAATGCTGTTATATGTTGAGAGCTGCCCAGAGATCCTACGGCTCATTGGGCAGCATATAAGTCAAACAAATAAATATCGAGGATTGCAAAAAGTTAAAATATGGGTAGAATCCAGCATAAGTCCTATTTAGTCTAGGCTAATTGTAATGAATGTCCCTGACTAACTTTAGCCTAAGTAGATTTTTTTCTAGTGTCTTTACACTGTATTTCTGGCCAGGGGCAAGCTTTCAAGCAGCAGAGATAAAGAATCCAGCAAAGACCCTCTTCCGTCAAAGATAAGCAGGGATCCTACGTGGAACAAAAGGCTTCCCACCTGGACTCAGCAGGCTCGCCATTTCTTTAACCCATATTTTGCAAACATGCAGCATATTTCCTACCCAGTCTCTGTAGCACCTTTGAGATACAGGTTTCAGGCTTTGTTTCCAGGCACCCACCACTGAGTCCACGTGCACATCAGACAAGACAAAGGTGTGGCTAAGATTCCTACAAGTTCAAGGACAATTTCTTCACTTTACAAATGGCTGGGAATGTATTTACAGCTTGTTTTCAATCCTACATCATTGCACCACTACAACTGAAATACAGATTGAAACATGACATAAGCTACGATTGAGTTCAGTAACATTAGCATTAAAATGTCAGACTTGTGATTCTTTCTGACTGTAGTCATTACTCTTATGATGAAGAAGCATCAGTAAAATACCTGTTAAAGCATTTGAATTTATGCTTGACGACGGACAGTTGTTTTAGCCATGGGGTGTTATACATGGGACTCAGCAGTGTGTTGGGTGATTGTAGCTGTCCTTAGTACATTTTTTTAAACTACCAACTTGGGTGAGCCTAGTGCGTGATACCAGTTTACGCAAGTATTTCTAGCTTTATTAGGTTAGATTTCCAGCATGATGCAAAATACATAATGCTGCTGTAGAAAAGTTACCATGGGTGGCTAAAGGTCTTTTTCGGAAAAAAATCAAAGGCTGACACCCTCCCATCCATCCTTACCTCCATGCCTTTCTTACAGGTGGAAGCCAACAGTGATACAGGAATACTTGAAGCACTTTCTGTCCTGAAATGTTGGGAAGAAAAGTGCATATTCATTATTTTTGTTTGCATTCTACTTGCATTTTCCTGGCTGCCCCTTAAAAAACCTCCAAAGCTTTTTCAAGTTATCAGCTGAAGGCAGGAAGATGATTCTCACGCCCTGTGTGTAGAGTGCTTCCTTCTATTATGAAGTCAAATTCATGCATTAACTGAGCTGAGACAATAAGACATAAACATACTCCCTTCACCAGTCTTTTCTATTTTTCTTGAGTTATCTGAATACAAGTATCCTTCCAAGTGCTCCCCTGACTATCGGGAGGTGGGATGTCAGTCTTTTAATCCCTTGTATTCATAGTCTGAGATATGTAATCAAGATTTAAGCAGCAAGAAGAGAAATATAATCCACTTTGTGTTCTTTAAAATGAAAAAATGTGAGGTCTAATAAACAAATTAGAGCATAAATATAAATCCTCCTTTTCCCTATTAATCAGAGTATCTCAGCTATGTTTGTGTTAAATGTCAGCTTCTAATGCTGAATCTTATACCCACTTACTTGAGAATAAGCCTTATTAAACTCAGTGGGTCTTACTTCTGAGTAGACATACAGAGGTTTGCATTGTAACTGATGTAGAAGTACCTTGGGTATTATGACGAACATGAGTTCTCCCATTTTGAAAGCAGAAATATAAATTTCTTCAATAATTCAGGTCATCTCATGGGTGTCAGATTTCAGTTTTCTTGGTGACAATTCTAACACCCTTGTGAATGAGTGAAGAAGTGAAACCTTCACACTTTGTTCATACATCCTTATAAATGTGACATACTTCCAGCATATTAAGAAGGAAACTTCATCCATTCTCAACTAAGGCACTGCTACTGAGTACATGTCCATAATGCCTAAGCAAATCTTTATTTTAAATAAAGCCAAGCCTAACTATCTTAAAGGAATTGCTTATGTGTTATATAAAGTATACCTAGGTAAGCCAGATGTATGAACCACACTTAGACTTGTGTTTAGGGTCTAACTCTAAATAATGCCAGTGAGGTGATTAGCAATTATACTTTAAAAAAAAATAACCGCAGGGGTAAGGGTGGCAATAGTCATTGCAACTGCAGCACAGAAGGTTAATCCTTCTTTCCCAGTAAAAATCTCCACCACCAAGTTTCCTGCTCCATATCAGGAAGCCACTGCATGAATTCTGGAGCCACAAGCCACAGGAACAATACACAGAGACATGGAGACACACGAGGCAGTGGCCAGCCCACTTTGTGAGCTCCTATAGATGAACACCTTATTGTGCTGCTAGACAGGTGTCCTTTCAAGTAGCTTTCACGTGGCAGCCTTTTTCTGTTTAGAAAGGCTCCATCCTGTACTTGTGAGTGCTTGAAAACTCTGAGCAGCACTCAATTTGCCATTAAAATCATTAGTGCAAACCCAGACTTGCCTTCCCAGTAAGCCATACTGAATTAAGTGGGTTTCACAGGTAGTTATGAGCAGGGTTACCACCTAAATTATGTGGAGATATGTGCATGTGTGTGTAATAAATAGGAAGCATGACTTCTTAGGATTGAGTTATATTTGGCAAGCCCAATATTCCCAAACCTTAATAAAGAACTGTACATATAACATGAGATTTAATGCCTAGACCATACCTATTGTGCGTGCTGTAGCTGGAGGAATCATCTTGTGTTGTGACGCTTAGGTCCTGGAAATGGAGCGAAGACTCCAGTCTGAATCCACTGTCCATGTCACTGCTGTTCGCTTGTCTTCCTCTGCCATGAGCGATGACATGTGAAGTGACCAAATCTGCAAGGGATTCAGGAAGAACCTTCCCTTTGTCAGGGTGCTCAGACACTTGTAGTTCGCTGTAAGAGGGCTCTATATGCAGTGCTGGTGCACTCCAAGTCAGGCTAGCAGGTGTTGATTTCGCAAAGCGACTTAGCAAGGTGTCGGGAATAAAATGTTCTTGACAGAAGGAGAGACAAAAATATTAACAATAAAAAACCAAGCACACATTTGTGAAAATATTGAACATGCTTGCTTTACCTAAATCCAACCCTGTAACAAAACAGGTTGACCATGATGGAGCACCCTAGATAGCTCCTATAAAGCTCAAAATAAAATCTGCAAAGTTTAAGAAGCCCCATAGACATTGGGGTCACTGGCCTCCCTTGGTGGCACCATAAAAAACTCATCTGCAAGGACCCCTAAGCATTGTGGGGGAGGTCACTAAAATCAGTGGGACTTGCTTCCAGGTCAACAAACTTAGAATACAGTTTAGCATGGAGACTTGTAGCTCATTTAAGCCATGTAACAGGTGTTGGAAATGTGAATCAGTGTAGAGACCTACACACAAGTTGGACTGGATGGAATGCATGACAGAGGAAGACACACCTTCGCTTGCCATAAATGCTTCTTTGGGGTCACTGGGCTCCTGAAGAGGCGTTGGCTTTATAGCACTGGAGTCTACAGTACTTTCAGTAGTGGTTCTGTTTTGCATTTGCTGAGACAGAGTGGACGATCCAATCTTTGCCCAGTAAACAAAGTATGACTGGACGACTGATAAACTGTTTTTAAAAAGTATTGAAGCAAGGTTTAGTTATTCTGCACAATTAATAAATCATCAGAACATTTGCTAAATCAAAGGGAATTTTTAAAAATCTACAAACAGAATTAGTGCAAAGAACATTAAAGGATTAGCCCATAACACATTTTAATTCTTGAAATGATAACAGATAAACAGCCAAATCCTTGGTGAAAGGGAAATAAGTAAAGTCACTTACAGTTAGGGCTAATCAAAACACAACTGTGCACGTGCGGGTGCTCGCTCAACTTATCCAGCTTTTAAAAAATTAATTCTGCATTTGAGAAAAATAGATCCATTTTAAAAATTCTGGTTAAGATTGCAAGCTATCATCAGGAACGGTGAGAAAATCTTGAAATACTGTTTGAGCCCAAGTATATAGTTGCTTGTAACTACATTACAGGGACTGCGGGTGGCGCAGTGGTTTAAACTGCTGAGCTGCTGGGCTGGTTGATCTAAAGGTCGGCAGTTCGAATCCACAGGATGGGGTGAGCTCCCGTGCTTCGTCCCAGCTCCTGCCAACCTTGCAGTTCGAAAGCAAACAAATGCAAGTAAATAAAAAGGTACCACTTCGGTGGGCAGGTAACAGCGTTCCGTGCACTTCGGTGTTTAGTCATGTGGGCCACATGACCACAAAGACTGTCTGTGGACAAACGTGGCTCCCTCGGCCAGGAAACGGAGATGAGCACCGCCCCCAAGAGTCAGGCATGACTGGACTTCAGTGTAAATTGTCAGAGCCTCATTACATAACCCATCTGAATATTTTTACTCCTACAACCCACTGCCACTATCTCTTATGGAGAGCATACTCTTTTTCAGACCTCAGATCTTGTTTTATCTAACTATACAAAGATAGCGAGCGACAGCAATGCTATGCACCCTGCCCTCCATGCACACAAACTTCCAAACTCAAAACTTTCTGTGCATCCTCTGTCCTGAGTAAGGCGTGGCAGGGCTGATCTCCACCGCCATCGTACACTTGCACCCTGGTGGTTGGCTAGACGGCCTTTTTCAGCCACAGGATGCCTGCCTGCTGGGACAGCAGCTCGGCCCTTGGAGCCTTAGGGCCATGAACTCAGGCTTGCACAGCTTGGTCTCTGTACAGTCCCCTCCATCACTTGCCTGGACAGTGTTCAAAAGCCGTGGGGTTGCACCCTGAAAGTAATGATCCACCGAGCCCCTTGAAGAAACCAGAATGGGCAGTATCCAATAGAGCTAAAGCAAATCGCATTGTGTCGGCATCTGTGGCCTTCAGCACAATGCCAGCAGTGCAAAATGCATGGCTTCAGCACACATTACTGGTTATGTAGTAGAAGTCATGTCCTCTGTTGCAGCATAATGTGCTTCAGTGCTGGTGCCACGTTGACTTCTTCCATGTTTGGCTATGGGGTAAAAATCTAATACATAAATAAATGATAGCATATTATCTTTATTTTAATCTGTGTTCCAGGGCCTATCCATTTTTCCTATGGTTGCCTATTTTTTTTTTTAAAGATCCTCTGTATTTTATTCACCATCTGATTTGTCTAGTCAGAAAAGGTTTTCTTGTTACCAAGAGAAAGAGAACAAGAAAACAAACCTCACAAAATCAGACACTGGCCATAGTAGCATCAAATATAATTTTGCCTCCTGACCTAAATGAAATCAGGGTTACTGCCAATTTCTCTTGCAGGGCTGATATGCTTTTAATAACTGCACAGCAAGCACGGATAAATTGAACAGCTGAAATAGGATTGAAAATAAAGAAACTGAAATGGAAAGCTCAGCTAATGCCTTTTCTCACAATTGTTCTAAAACTGTAATTTTAGGGGAAGGTAGCTTGTCATATAGGTAGAAATATCAACATGTGCATCCTAAAATTGTATACAATGCAATTCTTTACAAAAGGCTCACAGAGTTCAGTAAGGTTGATGCCACTGTAAAGGGTTGGCCTGCAGAAGCTGTTGAACTGCATTGTCCATCAGTCCTACTTAGCTTAGCTAAAGGTGAGGGATGAGGGGAATTGAGGTCCAACAAAAGCTTGAGGGACACAAGTTGCCTGTCATCACCCTAGGAGGATGCAACAACATCTCAGAGCAGGAGGAAAGGAGGCTGGAGATCCATGCATTATGGTCACTCTTGCCTCTTGCACTCCCTACCACATCCTACCTCTCTCCAAAGTCACTTTACTGACCTTGGAAAGTAGCTACAAGTAGCACAGTTTTCCCCCTGCAAGCTGAGATGGAGGCAGAGAAATTGCTTTGGCAGTGCAATTCCCAAGTACAAGGTTGAAGTTCAATCATTGATCTTGGAGCTGGGAATCCAAACTACTCTATGGCACCTCAAATGACACCTAGGGGCCATAGGATCTTAGCCAAAGGGTAAATTTATGCAACCAACATACAACTGATCATTCTTGTCATTTGGCAGTATGATTAAGCAGGAAACTGTCACAAATTTTGAGGATCCAAGTTACCAGTTAAGTTTGTCAGAGCAAAGCTGATATATGCCAGAGTTCATGGTTCTTCTCAATCCGTATTTCCCAATCTGTATTTCCCAAACATGTAATTTAAAGATTTTTTTAAAAATAATGTTTTTCCATGCTTCCTTAAAAAAAAAAAAACACCTTTTGAATATAAGGGAGACTATATTAAAACCTTACGTTGGTAATTTGAAACAGAGTACCGAGGGCACTGTTTTTCCAATATAAAATGACTCCTGCAAACAGCAACTTCTACCTGCTTATTAAACTTTCATTAATGCCTGATTATTGCTATTATCATTATTAATTTTATTTAACTCCGGACACCTGGGATTTTAGTTTAAAAATGCTTCCCACGTTGGTGCAATTCCCATTCATTTTGACTTTTTCTGGCTTTCTATTTTCTTGCTTTCTGTTACTGTAAGATGTTTTTATATTATTGCTAAATTATTTTCTATAGGAAAATGGGTCAGATTTAACTTATTAATGACTACTAATTAATTAATTCATAATAAGTAACTGTGAGGGCACAGAAACATAATCAGCTATTGTTGTGAAGCCAGGAATTCATACAGGCAGACCGAGCAGAAGTCAACAGCAATCAATGCTGGAACAATAATGGAGCAGAATTGGGAGCACCTGTCCCTTCCTAAGTAGCCCCCACCTTGAAGTAATGAGGAACTAATTGGAAAGGTCCCTCCTTCAGTAGCAAGTATGTCCAAAGAAAAATGTTTACAATTGCACTTTCTGTGTCAAGAATGCCTACGACACTATCTTATCCCCAGTGAATAATACAAAGGACAAGCTAAGTTGTTTCCAGAAGAAATACTTCCTCAAGAAGACATCAGTTATGGCTAGCGATAAAAAACTTTCTTACAAGAACCTGATGTCTCCAATAGGCTGATCTGACGCTTTCCACACGAAGGACAGGTTTCTCTTCAGTGATTTGTCTGAATGGGTGACAGTGTCGCCATCTTCAAAACAGGTCAGCAGTTTGGAGCCAGGAGGAATGTACACAAATGTGCCAGCAATTTGGTCATTTGATACCCTGCGAGCTTGAAGCATAAAGCCCATGAAATCCCGTGTGCTCCTGACCGTGACTAAAAAGAAAGAGGAAGTTACACAAGACCTTAAACCTTTGCAGGTAGCTTAATACTTGCATTGTAGAATTCTGCATCCACCTTCCACCTTGGGAAAGGTGTAGGTATTGCGTCTTTAATGTGTGTGTGTATAGATTCCATCTTCATCAATTTATCATGCAGAATCAGGGTTCGGATGTGAGTCGAAGGATGGAAGGGATGGAAGGGTATACCTAAACAGTTTTTAAGGTCTTCTGTTCTCGATTCCTTTGATTGCCACTATCTCTTTGGGTCCACTACCACCACCAGGGCTGACTCTCACACACCATGTTCCTGATCTCCATATGAGAACCTAGTTTCCATTTTTCTCCACTACTCCCTTCACCCTCCTCCAGTGTCCTCCACTGACCCATGCCAACTCTCTAAACTGTTGCCCACACTTATCTAGTGTGCTCAGTGCCAAGTTGAAGCACTGTTTCTCCATAAAATTCTGCATGCATCTAATGGGAGGATGGTAGAGTCAAGAACAGAAATTACCATTTCCATATTTGACCTATGCCCTCCTAAAAGGAATGGAGCTGCCATAAAAGAGAAGTGCCAGCTCTGTTCAAGTATTCCCCATATTGGCTGAGAAATGCTGGAAGCTGTAGAAATTTCTAAACTTTCATGGGATTGTGCCCTAAATCACAAACATATAATATGCAGCATGTAGTCAAGGAATATAAATGCTTTTTATAAAATGGGCAATTGTTTTCTCCTGTCTCTTCAGAAGAGAGGATTTTGTAGAGAACTATGAACTAATGTCACTTTCTGTGCATTTCTACTCGTAACTGTTTACTGTCAACCTAACACACCAGTACTGAGACTTCGAGATGATAATAACTAGGTTTGCTGTGTCCATCTGTCTCTCTTTCCCCACCAATTCACCCCTACCCACACTATAATATAATGCAGGAATATTGTCTGTTTCTCTAAAGGGAAGCTGAAAGAAAGTGCCCCCTTTGGTGAAAATTTTTAATACAGTATCAACACATAGCTTACATAATATCTTACAGAGTCTTTGAGATTCTTCACAACATTATGTCAGTAATTCTTATAACCACCCTGTAAAGTAGGACAATATTGTCATCTCTATAATTCAGATGTGGCTCTGAGGCTAAGAGGGAATAGCTAACCTAAGCCCATCCACTGAGTTCATGGCAGGCCCAGTATTTGGACCCTAAGCTTCCTAGTTCATAGCTCAGTTTTCTTAACTGTCGTATGTTGCAGTAGCTCCCTTATCAGTTTAAAAAAGCCTAGCTTGTTAAGTAAGGGTCCACAAAGATGTTTGCCAGGATACGCTGCACTACACTGGTATATTTACAAATATGCAAGCATACCTGAAATTCCTCCCCTGTAAAAAATCACTCGCCAGATATAAAGGGGGCACAGTCTGGACCGATTTAATCAGTCCAGGTTTTTGTAAGCAGTGAAGCCCCTCCACATATTCACTGCAAACAGGAAGAAGGGAGGGACTACCAGATCTTTTGCCTTGGTGAGGAAGAAGCCACAATAGGGAGCTTCACTGGCCGTTAGACAAAATAATTGACTGTGAAGCCTCATTAAAACTTGCATGCCTTGGCAAATAGTCTGAGTAAAGGCTTTGCTTTACTGTAAATCTCTGGCTGTAAAGAAAGAGTGTAAGAGTACTGGTAACTTCAAACCTTTATTTACCCAGGGAACTAGCCATTCAATTAAGTTAACAGCATGATACACTTGCAATAATGATGATGAGCAAAGGGGTGGGATGCCTTATTGATGCTGTTTTATGGAATGATGTGATTGTTGAGGGGAGCTGTTACAGCCTCTCGTTTTGACAATAAACCTGATTGTGTGATGGACACATATAGCAAGAAGCATAGAATGCATCTGGTCCAGTAGTCTGCAGTGACACTTGTACAGAAAGGCCTTTCTGTTCTCATTCTAGAGCCCCGTAACAAGCAGAACGCCTGCGATTCTTTTGCCTTTGCCAAAGTAAGACTCTGTTTGCTGAGACGTTAGAGCTTCCATAGCAGGAGGCTAAGTCATCCCCTTTGGCGAGAGCCAACAGGAAATAGTCTGTAACTGGCAGTGATCCATGAACTGCCTGTGAAAAGTACTGGCGTTTTATTCCTCCTCTTGCAATATAAGAAAGCATGACTGAACTACAATTTTTACCATGCACAACTGTATGTGAAACTGCATTTTTAAAACCTTGTTCAGATTAACTTTCACATATATTTTCTGTGCAAAACGTTCTGCTTAAGTAGTGTATCCTCACAAAATACACTTTGGGTGCTCATCAGTGCAAGTATATCTAACCTAAGAATGTTTATAAGTTTGACTGGGCCATTTCAATTAGTGTTGCAATTTTCTTCTTGCTGTTACATCCACTTACCATTTTAAAAGTCATTCTTCTGTTCATTCAATTAATTTTGTCCTCCAATTTAGGAAAATGGGTAGTGGGGCTTTACCAAACTCAGACTGTGCTTCTTACCACTAACTAACTATGAAATAACTTACGAGTATGTTTCCAATGTAAGGTAGGCAGAAAGAACTGAAAAGCATTAAATGCCTTGTCTGTGACTTCAAAGTAAACTGATGCACTGCCCTTTCCTGAAAATATTGTAGTTAGCTGCTAGTCCTTACCTGGAACCCTGCCACCTGGAAAAAAGGACATATTGGTGTGGATGGTGATATAGTTATTTTGTGGATTCTGAAGGTGAGCTCTGATATGTTTGGGCCTCATGTCAGTACATGCTGAAAGGCTGGCACCATGTGAGAATGCTGCAGTGTATGAAACCAAGCACAGGGTTGTAAATGCCCACACAGCAAGAAATGGCTGGGCTTTCATCTCATCCTCTACCTGTCAAAAAATAATACATTAAAGTGGAAGTACAGTGATAGCATTTCTCCATATAAAAAGACCCAGCATGGTTGACATTATACTGCTTGACACCTTTGAATTTCAGATTTAGTTGAAATCAGGGTTTTCAAACACTTTGGAAAGGAGGATTCAATCATCCGTGGAGCTTTGCCCTGGTTAGTCCAGAAAATAAAACATTTTGAGAACAAAGCAGGCTTTGACATATTCTGGAAGTGTGAAAAAGAAAAAGCCATCCTGGCAGGGTTGTAATCTAAAATGCTGAGCCAGTATACTCCGGCTCATGGCAAACTGGCAGCGCGTGGGCTCCCCCAACCCAGCAGTGGGAAACACCAGAAACACCAAGGAATGTTTCCAGACATCGCTTAGCACCTGGGATAGACCATGGCTACCTTTTAAGACTGTACCCCCAGAGAAAGTGACCATTTCAAGGAAGTCCTATTTTCAACTCTCTTATCCCACCAACCCCTCTTTCCCTTTGCAAATGTAGCTACCTATCAGGAAAAGCAGTTCTCCACAAAAATTTAGCTGTGACCATGATTTTTTAACTATCTTTATCATATATCCCTAGTCAGTCTCAAGACATTTGGTGCATTAGTTACACCAACTTACAGCTTCTTAAACTCTTACACAAGAATGCAGCTATGTCCAGTACAGTCCTGCTTATAGACTCTCCTATGACTTACACCATGTGCCTGACCAGATGCAGTGAGATACTAAACTGTTTGTTCCCAGCATTAAGCAAAGAAGCAAGATGGGCAAAGGTTTATTTTAACTCAATTGTGTTCCTCCGAAATTATTTCCCCACCCATTTACTTGTTGAAGCGAATGAAAGGAACACATTTTTCAAAACCCAGCTGAAAAACCAGCAGAGGGTCTTCTGAACAATGGAATCACCTTCTTGTCTACCTTCCAGTATTAACCCTATTAGAGCTGGTTTTCTCAAAGAAGAGAACTATGTTCTAATGCAGTATTTTGTCTTATAAAATTTCCTTTTTATTCTCCAATCCCTAAGTTGCATTAGCATTGCAAGTTACTTACCTTGGGGCACATGTTCCTTCAGATGCTCAGCAATTTCTTCTTCAGCCTGTCAGGCAAACATCCTTTAAGGAAAAATGTTCTTTACTTTCTCCACTAATGGGAAGCACAACAGCTGTTACCGCTAATACCTACAGGAACGCTATCAGTGTTCAAATCCTGTTTTAATCATGTTAGTTTTCTTCACACTCTACTCATCTACTGAAAATACACACACTTTCTCTTACACACACATGCACCCAAGGATGTGCTATGAAAGCAAAACATAAGCTATAGTGTCATTAGAAAATTAAATATTTCAATTTATGATCAGGATCCACCAATTTTGCACCTTTTGACCTGAACACCAAAAGGATGCAATGTGCCACTGAGGTCTGTACCTTTCCATGCTCACAGTGTGATTCATGGGAAAGCTATATTCAGTGGAATTAGTACATTTGAAAAGTTCACATAGAAAAAATGCATATTTTAAAAATGTGAAAAAATATCATGGGAAGAATACATACATTTCAAAGATGCATAGAGCTGATATGTACAACTTTTAGGGAAAATACACCTGAAAATTTGCACAGATTTCATGTGAAAAGTAAAGAGAACAAGGCTCATGTTCCAGTGCAGACCTGAACAAGAACAGGCTTCAAGATGCAACCTGGAGAACTTCAACCAGCTCAAGTTTTATGAATGTGTGCACCCCTAAATCTTATGTGCATTTATATTCAAAAACCCCTCAATGGAACTTACTCATGTGGACCTAGAAATAGAGGCAAAAAAAAAAAAAAAACCCTATAAGGGATACATCCAGGATGGCTATCAAGAAACCTCAAGCAGAAGGCCTCTTCATAGAAAAAAAGTTTTCTTTTGCACACCAGGGACCATACCCTGAGCAATTTGTTTCTTAAGTGTTTATGGGAACAGTAAAGAGAGTGTAGTAATCTGTTGGGGGCCAGGCAGAATCTGGAGACTATGCCTGCTGTGTTAAAATAAGCGGAGATATTTGACCAGTCAAGATCCAGTAAGTCAGAAGGGAAAGGTTGCTGCTATCCGACCCTGAAATCTCCCCATTCTCTATCCCCCTTCTGGCTATCATTTGTTCCAGCCAAGAATATAGGTCATAGCCTATTGTGAAGAAAAGCTGCAAACGTCAACTGACGTTTAAGAACAGGTGTTCAGGTCACTGAAGCATGAGCAGTTTGCAGTTTATTTATACCATATTCCTTGACTACAGCCTCATCCAAGTAAGATCAACATTAAGAAGATCAAGGAAGTCTGAAAACAACCTTGCGTAGATTATGCTTTTATTATTTATTAATTTGTGTAACCTCTTTTGACTGAAAGTCTGCAAGGTGGCTAGCAGGATATGTTTTGTTTTTTTTAAATAAAATGTTCCTCATTTTAAAAGCTGTCTGAAAATCCTGCAAATACTGAATGGTGAAAAGAATCAGAGCAGCAGTAGAAAAGAAGGGCTAATCAGGACCACAGAACCTTCTTCTGGAAGCAGGCAACCTAGGTTTGATATCTAAAAGCCATGAGAGAAGCGGCCAGATTGTCTTCTCTAGGGAAGTTCAAAACCTTCAACGCCATTTCAAAAAAGTTGTACATTGCATCACAATCCACCAGACTTTCATCCACTTGGGAATGAACTGGGCCTCCAACCAAGTTCTCAGCTGATTTACAATTCGTATTTTCTAAATTTCCAAAACTGAGAAATTCTGGTAGAGGACTATTTCTTTTGAATTTTTAACTTTAAACATGCTTGAAGTAGCATAAAGAACAATCACAAAGGAAATGATTGTTACTGGTTCCCAAGAATAATGAACTAGACACATCCGAAAAGCTGAAAGATTACTAGTTCGTTGTCTCTTCATTGCTTGCTAGCCTGGAATAGAACCTTCAGAAATGGAATAGAAAGAACCTTCAGACATCAAGGGATTGCTTAGTTTCACATGTATCAAGAAATCGTTCAGCAGGGAAATCTAATTAAAACACCCCTAGATCAAAGACATCGAAATGTGTTGGATATTCCAGTGCATTATAGACCACCAGTGTCTGATACGGGATTTGTTCATCTCTGTATTTTTCTTCTTTGACCCAATATATATCAAAGATAGATAGATAGATAGATAGATAGATAGATAGATAACATTATATTATATATATGTATTTCTGACTTTCCTTTCAATTCCTCCAGGCCTTGTTTTCTCTGTCTCTTGGCCAGTTTGTAAAGTTTACAGCAAGCACTCACTATGCAGTCAATTTTTCTGTTCCTGAATAGGACTATCATATCTATTTCTTTCACTCCTTTCCTCTGAAGAATGCAAAAAACCTTCCTTGCCCTTATGCAGTCATTCAACCTTTCTGTATCAGGCACTGTGCACAGTGAATCTGCTGTACAGCTGGACCACAAATGTAACTTCACATCATGCTGAACACTGTGCTTTTCTATTCACGTTGGTGTTCCAGAGGGAATTTCCAGTTAAGACACAGGGCTTCATATGCATTGCATGTGAATCTGGAATAATGCTTTCTTCATAATTGTGACATGTTTAAACTATAGGTGAGATTCTAGGCCTACTGTTCACTCATAAGGACTGCCCACTATGGGTTGCCACAGCCATTGCTATGCAAACCCAGGTAGCATGGGCTGTTTGTAGGCAAGATAACTCTCAACCCTAAAGCAAGCCATGGGCCAAACCATCATGCCACCTGGCTTGCATAAGAGAAGCCAAGTGCAAACAGACACCTGGCACTCTGTGACAGCTCCCACTGGTAAATTAAGCCACAGTAGTTGTTGGATCTTGCGCACTGCATCATTGAGGAATCAGGCAGCATGGTGGTGTACATAAGACATCCCATTAATACACTGACCTTATTCACACATATGCTAACCCATCGCTCCATTGTTAGTTGCTCTGCCCAGGGCATTTCTGGCAAATGATGCAAAAAAAACATTATTTTAATAATCTTGGGTCTGCTTGTTTCCTTCTTCCTTCACCCAAATACCCTTGCAGCACTGCAGTCCTGGCAAGTAAAAACACCCGGATTTTTGGCAATTCTTGCCTGCCACATCTGTAGCTTAGCAAAACAATGAATGGTTCTAGGTTCAAACTTAAGGAAAATTCATAGTTCTTTTAAAAACAGAATTCACAATCGAACAATGTGTTTTCTTTCTGGATTGCTCATGGTTAACAAACCATAGTTATTGTATCTGAGTCCACAAATTGTGACAACTAACAGGTTACAATTATGTGTCAACCAGACTATTGCTCTAAGTGTGTGGAATGAAAATAAATTAGCAACTTTCAGGGGTCATCTGAGGTGAAGAAGGGATGCAGTAACCTTGCCAGCTGTAGGCTTTTTCCAAAACCAGTTCAAAATTACACAGTAAACTTGAAGGAACATCCTTCAATTTTTTAAAAAAGAAGCCATTCATAGGAGACCAAACATGATTCGTATTTATATGGAAGACCTTTCCCAAGCCCTTGTCAAATTATAAATTACTGAAACATATTATAAACGATGTTCTCTTTGTATGTCAAGTAGAGCCATGTGAAATATTTAACACAAACAATTATTAATTCCTACTTCTCAAGTGGTGCCATTCCCTCCTATTTGGTATTTGAGGAGATGAGACAATAGTTGTGTTCACACTATTGTTAATGCTCATTCATGCACATCTCAGATGTGTGTGCTGTTTCTAAAAGGAAGCATTATGTTGTTCAGAGAGAATGGGCAACATACCCCATGCTGAGGTTTTTTAAAAAACTTCTGTTCTATGCTATTCTTGTATTTTAGTTCTTTAAAATCCTATACTTATCTACTTAGAAATAAGTCCCATTGAGTGCAATGGGACTACCTCGCAGGCAAGCTTGCATGGAAAAAGCTGTACCTCAAAGACTGACCTCACAGGGTGTTCTGAGGTGGGATGTGGAGGAGACTCAAGCTGTGCAACCTCAACCTGCTTTCCCTCCCCATTCAGTGTGCTGCAGTTAGATCTTGGCCATCTGACTGACTTGCACAGTGAGAAGTCAGGGGGCAAAGATGGCCTGCATTCTTCTCCTGCCTTGCACAAAATGCCCATAATCACATTCAGAGGCTTATGGGCATCTCCACTGGTCTGCACTCTTACATTACTAAACCCAAAGCAGTTTCTGACTGCAATGTTTTCCTATCACTCTCACATTTGTGCAGCTTAAAAAAGCAATGCATTTAGTTGAACATCCCTAGCCACAAATATATGAAAGATGAAAAGAAGTGTGTGGACTAACAGCTATGTAAGGTGAAATCGTGACCACTGCAACAAGCCTTTCCCTATTTATGTTATAGCAAAAACTAGTAATTTATTTTCTTGTTTGACCTGAAACACGACAGCTAGGAAACTGACTTGGGTGTGTTGGTTTGTTTAAAGAAGTCATGCAATCAAGCTGCTGAATGTTATATTAGATACCACATCATACAGCCTGCAACTCAAAAGCAAAATAAAGAGTTGCTGGGACTTGAAACACTGACACACGAACAGAAAAGCTGCTCACTTGTGGTGCTTAATTCTAGTTGACACAGTGCTAAGCCCTGGAATTTTCTTCCAATCTGTTACCTATTGACAAATTGTCACTGCTACACTCCCACCAAGATTTTTGTTGGTTAACTTCAATCAGCAACTGAAAGTTTTACCCTGATACTAAACTTGACGATCTTAGTGTGTATGCTTTTAAACGGGATATGTAATTTTGCTTACCTTCCTAGTCATCCAAAAAGTTGGAAAACAGAATTTCACACCTTGGCAGCCCAAGAAAGGTTCCAGTGTGGTGTTACTCTCCAAGTTGGAACTGTTCATGTATGTACCAGATGTTGTTTAAAATTAACTTTACAGCATAAACAGATCACATTATTTTCCATTTTTATTTCATTCCAGATTTTAACAAAAAGTATTCCAAACTCAGAAAATGTTCCATCTTGTTTTCACATATTAAAACATATCCAACCTTCCATATAGGCCATGTAACTTTTCATTGAAAAATTACCAGCAACAAACAAAATGTTAAGAAACAAAAATTGTCGTACAAAATACTCCATCTTCAGGTATGCTCACATTCTCCTCTTCTGTGTACTTATATATAGAACTGTTTAAAAGGGGAGTGGGAAGAAACAATTAGGATACTTTACAAAAAATATAACAGCTTGCAACAGATGAAAGTAAGTCCAGCCGTGGTCCACAAACAGTTTACTACCAGAACTACTAGTTGGATGCAAAGCTGATTCTTGGGTCATGGAAAGCCTGTTTTACACTTTCACTACAGTGTTCTGTAAGAAAAGTCAAACTAAATCTGCTGCTGATGATCTATTGGCACGTCTTTCATAAGAACTGTTATAGAATCTATTATAGCTTTATATGATATTTTTTAGTATTTGTACACCAGTGCTAAGGGCTATTTTCCTTCTCTTTAAAGTTTTAAGATGTTTTTTGGTAAGGTTTATGAAAATGGAAAATTTTAGTAGGATAAATGCAAGGCCCTGTTAAGGCCCACAAATTAGAATGAAAGGAATTTTTAAGCATATTCTTCTCTGCTACTGAAATCAAGTGGCTTTCTTTGACTGGATCATTCCCCCAGTGTTTTGCTTTGCTTTAATTAAATGTGTGACAGAGTACATCAAAAATTAATCTAAATAAGATTCTATTGTGTCAGCTGGGAGACCCCTCTATCTCCTGTTACAAACTGCCACTGCTTTCATCGGATGGAAAGGGAGAGGAAGCCCTTCCATTCTGTCCACGATCTGCTGAACTTTACAATCAAAACTATAGCATCTGTGGTTGCTTTTTTCTTCCTCCCTCACAATCCCCTTTCCTTTTGTGTCATGTCCTTCAGATATGACATAGATCATAACAATATAGACAGGGACCCCCTTATTAAACTTAGTGTAAGCTGCCTTGGAAGCCTTTTTTAAGTAAAGGATGGAAATAAAATAAATAAATGCTGGAGAAGGTCCTTTCTGCTAGACTTCTCTAACAGTTGCAAACACTCCTGAACTGTAAACTATTCATTTGTCATATATACAGCTGTGTAGGCATATGTGTGCACGCATGTGTGTGTGTTCCCACTACTACACTCCATCTACCTTCCCCTGCCATCCTGCTAAAAGAAATGGAAACTGCATTATGCAAAGGTTAGAAAGACAGCATAGCATTCCTACTGCTTACAGTTCTCTAAGTCTGCAAAAAGTGGTAGTAACATCTTGCAAAGGTGATGGAAAATATTTTTGTTGAAATCTATGACACATAGGGATGGGAGGAGGGAGAAGATGAGCTTCACTCTCTTTTCCAAGCACTAGGAACAAGTCCTGAAATGTGCAGTGAAAATAAGGCAGAGTCTCATTGCCTATATACAAAGTGTTACCTGTGCTGATGACTGCCGTAATTCCTTCCCATATTACAAAACCTTGCACAGGTTGAAAGAAGAACATACACTTCCCTGAGATACTTTTATGCATGCCTGATTGAGAGGGGACAGAGGGAAAAGGACGGCGTCTGTCATTTTGCATCAGCCTTTCACAGAAGCCAGACATCTGTGGGTGCTTCCTTTCTACATCTATTATGCCAGAAGTACGTACAAGAAAAAAAGCTGCCTAATTTTATTCTTCATGTGTTGTTCTTTTTCAAATGTTTTGAATGAATATATCCAAACCCAATCTCTTGTAGTTACACATAGTTACCATTGTTTCCTCTGATGAAAGCATCTCCATATTTATTCTTCAACTGCCCATTTACATACTCCTCTGTCTGCTCCAGAGCTATATTCATGTACCCATCCAAGCAAGCCAGCACACCTGGAACAACAACAACAAGGGCCATTCAGGCATCAGAATTATATTGCATTCACTAAATACTCTATTAAAAATTGCACAGATGTACCCCATAACAATCTTTTTGTACTTGATTCAGAATGCCTTAAGATAACATACAATTACTCATGCCAGTTTTACTTTTGTAAGCTGTTTTATTCTATAATTATATAAATGAAATGGTATATTTTCCTTCTTTCTTTCAAATAAAAAATAAAAATCCCACAAACTTCCACCCTTTGATCTGTGTGTTTGTCAAACATAAAATGGTATTCTTCCTAAACAACCACTGGGACCACAGGGGACCTTATTTAACAATGGTTCTTCTTCCAAAAGCCAAGTGCAAGCTGAAGTTCCCTGTTAGCCTGAAAACCATATCTGAAAGGAGTTAGTTCCTGCAGGAAATTAGTTGCATCTAACTCTTAGAAAGTACAAAATGTGTAATTTATACTGCATACTTTCAGAAAGACTATCTAGGACTGGGTAGAGATATAATCCAACTCTCCCATAGTTCAAGTGCTTTTTAATACTTCTATTCTCTAAACTTCTGGTCTAACACAATTAGGTACATTTATAGAATTTAAGGAAGTTCTAAATTTTATCACCTCAAGCATAGTTCAAACTGACTAACATCCCTACATCTAGGAATCCTGGCTGAGTTACCACAAGATCCCCAGTGTTGAGGACTGAAGTAATCTCATATTTACTACTCTTGTCCTTGTTCAAATAACCACAATTCAAGCATTTTGACTGTGGCCAAGAGCCCACCAAGAACAGGCTTGTCAACATCACATGAATTATATACGAATCTTTCTCCCTAACTGAAATATCACACAATATATCAAAGGAAAGAAGGAAAGAAGAAGAGTTTGAGAGAGGTTTTACTTTAGAGGAGGCCTAAAAATAATTAAATAAAAGGGTTTTTTTTAATAATAAATAAAAAACCTACCTCGATAATCAACTCCAGAATTTAACTTTACAACAACTGGTCGGCCTATGATTTGTTTCAAGAAATCACTTGGAGTTTGTTTCCGTAGACTCATTCTGAAAGACCTTGGAAGCTAGAAGCAGAAGTAGGAAATGGCTTAAATGCAGAACATATAATTAAAAAGGTTCAGCAGAGACAATAAGATGCCTCTCAGAAGTAGTCAGTAAAGGAATATATGTCAAAGAAGACGCTTCCTAGGGAGAGGAAATCTGAGAGGCTGCGGCTAATTTGCCATCCCCAGAATGCACCATGGGTTGCATCCCACCCTCACCAACAAATTCAGTAACTGCAAAAATTGTTCATTTTCACTTTGGAACAAGCCATGTGGGGAAAACATACCTTGTTTAATGCACAAATGCATTCCCCAAAGCCCTGGAAGAACATGCATTAAAACAAATGAAAATACACATTTTTCCCAGCAAGACGCCACAATCATTCAGCAGAAGCAGGCTAGGGTTAAAGATAAGGTTTGGTGGGCATGAAACTCACCCTGCTTTAGATGCTGGTATTCTAGAATAATAACTTCTGCTTTGTTTTGTTTGCTCAAGTAGTATAGTAAACATGATTCATTCTAGCCATATATGACTTTAAAGTCTTTTAACAGTACAATTCTCTGTGCATTTACTTGTTTATTTCCAACTAAGCTGTATAAAGTTGCACTGGAAATCTAATTGAAATGTCCAGAAGCAAACACCAGAAAAGATACTGGAGGAAAGACATTTCTACAAAACTTTTGGCATCTACGTAACCATTTTTTCATGATATCCACACTGACCAAAAACATCAGAATACCTCTCTATTTAAAATTTCTTGAAAGCATACAGTAGGGATTTAACAGTCTGAACTGGGCTATAATCTAAACACATGAAGCAAATCCTTAAACATTCAGAAGGTCTTACTTTTGAGCAGGCATGTTTAGGATTGGCCAGTCAATTTCAATGGATTATTTGTACTTATGTGTAGTACATGGTGTACTACATAGATGAACACCCTTCCTGCACCATCAACCCAAGCCTTTAATCCTGGTATGTTAATTTCATCTACTTAAAATTGTATTAAAAAACCCTATGTGATGCAGCAGTTATCGCAACTCAAGATCAGGGACACCAAAGTTTAAATCCTAATTCAGCCATGAAGCTCTCTTGATTACTTTGATATGGCCACTTTCTCACAACCTGAACTACCTCACAGGGCTGTTGTGTGGAGAAAATTGGAAGAAAAAACAAGTAATTAGAACTATATATGCCACCCTGATCCCTTCGGGAAGGCAGGCTGGATAGCAATGCAGCTCATAAAAAAGCCATATTCCTAGTGATCTTTCCTACACAGAAAAATTCCGAGTTTGGCCTGCATTCTTATTTTTCTTTCCTAGGCGTACATTGGGTTAGATCATTGGAAGCGTTAAAACTGACCTAGTTTGTTGTTTCTATTTTACATATACTGCGTTGGAATTCTTGAAGAATGAGCGCACTGTATATTCTTAAAAATAAATAAATTATCCTTATCCATTACGACTTGCTCAACATGAACCGCTCCTGGGGGCCAGAAACCACGACGGCGCCACAGCCTTCGAAGATGCTCGGCCACACATTGCAGGGAAGGAACGGGAGAGGGAAGAAAAATAATAACTCAAGCGGGAGACGGAGGCCCCGACCACCTAGCCGGCATGGACTGCGAAAGTGGCGGCCGCTGGTCTCGCTCGCCCAGACGGCGGGGAGGCGAGCGAGGCGGCGCGGAGGGAGAACCGGCCCCTTCCGACAGCCCGCCGAAGGATCGCCGGGAGGGAGGCCGCTGCTGGGAGCGTTCCGCGAGAGGAGCCCCGCCAGACGCCGCCTCTGCCCTCCACTTCTACGCCCGCTCGCCCGCCCGCCCTCAGGCACTCACCCGCGCCTCCTCACGCTGGTTCACGAGCCCAGGCGGGTTTCCGCACGAAGAATGATGGGCCGCTCGCCTCGCCAATCGGCGCTTTCCGACTCTGCGCCGTAACTACGGTGGCCGAACGTCGCCGAAAGTCATCCCTTCTTTTCTTTGAAGCGGGTGGCGTTTTCTTATTTTGAATCTGCCAGCTGCTGAAGCCCTTTCTTGATCTGGAGTAAGCCCTGTTGAACCCGCTGGCTCTCGCTTCCGAGTGCACAGGGATATGGAGGATCGGGTTCCTTTAATGCAGTTCCGCGCTCCTCATACAAAAGGAGGAAACAAGTTCAAAAGCGGTTGGTTGGGGTGGTTTGTTTTTTTGAACTTAAATGCACCGTCCTGTTGCGTGTGCAGAAGGATTAAAGTCCTACAACTCCCAGCGTTCCTTAGTCAGCATGCTGGGAGTTGTAGGACTTTCGTCCATCCGCGCCCGCAGCAGGAGCGTACCCTGCATGGATGCGTTACGTGCGCATATTAAAATAATGTAAAAGTAGTGAGTTATGCTTTTGCTTTAGAACCAAGACACTTCTGAGGTCAGTTCAGAACATTCCCAACCGAATTAACCAAAATAATAAATACTGGAAATGACATAATGAAACGCTTTCTTCTTTCTGAATTATCAGAATGCAGGATGATTTCAGGACAGCGGGATGCGGAGGCCAATTTTTTAATTGAAATTATGTATACCCATGGTTGATTTATATCCCACCTTTTCACCGAACCATAACACTCAAAAGCAACCAACAATAATAGCCCAGGGTTAAAAAAAAACCCTTAAAGGAATCGTTAAAAAGAAACAAACAGCACATGATCTTATTCTTTCTTTTTCAGTAACAGACCAGTTTGAATGTCAAGCGCCTACCTGAACCAAAACTTTTTCCCTGCCTGCAGCAGGACCAAATGAAGAGGGACCAATGTAGCTTCTGTCATCAGGGTTAAAGAAGCTATAGATACTCTCTGGATCTGTTCAGAAATCCCTCTTAGTTGCCTGTCCTGAAACAGGTCAGAAATGTGCCGTGGATTTCTATAGCATTTCTTTATTGGGGAATGTGCAATACATTAGAGCAGTGACTCCCTAACTGTGTTCCGCAGAATCCTAGGGTTCTGCAAAAACCTCATGGGAGTTCCTTGAAAAATCTCAACAATCAAATTTAAAACGGATTTTAAAATGAAACCAGATGAGGCCAACTATTCTATTGTCAGTTGGCATCCAAGCAGCAAACAAGGATATACATCATGTCATTTGGTTCCTAGGATTCCATTGCATAGTGTTGGGAATTCATTTGGGATATTACCATATAATCACTTTATTCATTTGTTATAGTTAAAATATTTTCTCTTTATTTCCAGAACTACTATGTGATGCAAAGCACTTGGGTAACAGGAGCAGATGAAAGAAGGAAGAATGTTGTGGGTTCACAATGCTTAGTAAAAATCAGGGATACAGTTAGGGTTTCACAGAAAAAAAAGTCTCCAGAAAGGTTCCATGACCAAGGAAATTGGGAACTGCTGCATTAGAGAACCGTACCACAATCCTTTTAACCAGGGGTCCTCAAGCTATTTCAACAGGGGGCCAGTTGAAAGGCAGCGGCAGTGGGCTTGGCCGTGGTGGTGGGCGCATTTTATTTGCATGCGTGCAGCAACGCGGCAGCTTGCTCACTCGGAGACTGTTTTCTCCGAGCGAGTCCAAAACCTCTGAGGCAAGCCGGATAAATGGCCATGGCAGGCCGGACCTGGCCCGTGGGCCATAGTTTGAGGATCCATGCTATAAGCCAAACAGTAGTGTAGTGGAGCCAGGGCTCACAGGCACACAATGCCTGCAACTTTTTATTAGCAAAGATTCTGGCACATCAGGCACCTCCTAAGGTTCCTTTTGAGCTTAGCTTCATTTCTCACAGTAACTTGGAAAAAATTATTTATCCCCAAAACAATATTTTGGTTTGGTCTTGAATGGCCTATTAAGACCTCTTAAATTACAAAAGACTAGCTAGCAGTGAAGATAAAAACTGCTGGTTTGTTGATATGGATCAACATAGCTACCTGCATTTTTGAGCTCTCCTCAGTATGTAATTATGGAGACCTTCATGATGAGCACCTGCATGCCAAAAAGTATATATTTTTACTCAGAGCTGGCTTTACCAGTGGGCAATGTGAGGCAGTGTGAGGCCTTGGGTTTGGGCTGTCATTTAAAATGGGCAATATTTTATTCATTTATTTTATTGTTGCATTTTTACTATGGTGTGAAGGGGGAAGCTGTTTACGAGATGTTGCACCTCAGGTGCCAAAAGCACTTGCCTGCTTTGTGGGGGGGGGGGGGCATCACTGCTGCTTTGCTGCAGGAAGTAAAATGTTATGGGCCGACAGTGCTCACAAGACCTGTAGCCTTCTGCTCAAGAAGCACTGTAGCAGGCTGAATAACCTACAGATTGCAGCAAGTAGAATTGCTAACTTCTGACAAAAACATCATGGTTTCAGCTATGGCCTGAGGGCAGAGCCCAAGAGTGCCCAAGAGTGGGACCATAGGCAGATTCTAGCAGCCCTTGGTCCTTTGCTGGCTCAGGAATGCCAATCAGTGCACATTCAAACAGTAAGGACAACAATTCTAGGGGGAGACTCCGAGAAATGTTCTTGTTTCTTGCTTTTCTAACAGTTAGGCAGAGCTGTTTTCCTCCTGGTCACTTGCAACTAACTTCTCATTTAGCTTCTGCCCAGAAGATTTAGGAAGTGCCAGAGAGAAGCAGCCATAAAGAGGAACAGTGAAAGCTCTCTGACCAGAGTAATTGCAAAGACGTGTGTATCCATAACATGGAGTAAGCTTCCCTGCAGTGTTCCTGGAATGCACAACTATGCAGCTCTTGCCTTCCCCTGGCCTTCTGCTGTGTTCATCTGAGAGGAAGTGTGCAAATAAAGTGCAATGCAAACCTTCGGGGCTTCACACATAGGCCTAGGACATGCCATTTTTGCTCCTTAAAACCAATCCTGATCATCTGGGTGCCCACTGTGGGAACAGAACACTGGATTAGATATGTCTTTAGAGTTCATTTTATGTTCTTATGATTTCCTTTAATCTGGATGAAGTTGTGAATCCTGGATTAGGTATTCCAAGGACAGGGCAGGGAAGGAACCAAAATCCTCATTTGGGTTGCTTTACAAGTGAGAAGGTGCAGTGCCTTTTTTGTAAGAAAAAAGGTGCCGGAACTCAGGAAATTAATTACCTTTCACATGTAGTCAATCACTGTACACACACACACGTCAGTTGTGTAACGAAACATAACGGTCGCTGCCTGCAGTAAGCACTCAGCACGCGACCACACGACCAATCAGAAGCCAAGCAGCGCCACAAGCCGAGCAGCGCCATCACAACCAGCACGGGAAGTACGCATGCATCGGATTCGACACACAAGCAGCCCGCATGCACCATTTTAATGATTTTGCCGCCAACCTGCTACGCTCGACAGGGAGATTCGAATCCACATGGGCCAAACATCAAATTTTCAAAAGTTACTTTTAAAACTTGGAAAATCTGTTGAAAAAAGTGCCAGAACTCTGTTCTGATGCGTTCTATGACAAAAAAAGCACTGAGAAGGTATAAAGTGATCAAATAGCTACCAAGAGCCTATAAATTGCTAGGCTGCTCATGACATAACACACATTCAGGAAGTAATATTGGGAAAAACTCAATTCCTGCAATGATCTTGGACACTCATTGCATCTCATATTCTTTCAGGATACCCAAAGATTTTTTTTAAAAAAATATGGATTCCTTAGAGTAGGCAGCTTGAACTTAATTGCACTAATTTACATACTCTCTGCTCTCCTTTACTTAACTGGCTATCATAGTCTGAAAGTATTTATTGTTAAAATGCTGCTTCTATTTGTTTTGTTTTTAGTTCCCCTGCCAAGCAAATCAGGAAGTACACCCTAAATCATGGGGTTGTTATAGCTATGCTCTCCTATGATGTCAAGGGGAGACTTGAGTAAACACTCCAAAGAAGCAAGCAGTTTCATGTGTGGCCAGAAGAGGAAGCAAAGACAAAGGCTTTGGTATTGTTTAAATGATTTTAACTTATATCTTCAAAGAGAAGGCACAACTGAGAAAATCTTCCACATAAGCCCCACAAAAATGCTTTTGCATCAGTTTCACCCATTTCAGCCGAGCTTGTGCAGAATGACAGCTTGATTTAAGACATGCTTCACTGGGGTGTTCTGGTGAGCTGCTCCATCAATCCATCCAGTGCCCTGGTACATGTGAGCCTGCATTAGTTTTCTGGTGGGAATAGAAAAGCACAGAAAACCCACTATAACACAGCACCTTCTTTTTTGCACATCCACTCCCTACATTTCTGGTTTGCATTAAACCTCCCATGGAGATGCGCCCAAGAATTACCAACTGCTTATCCATAGAAAACTCCAGTGTTCTCAAAAGCCCTGCATATCCGGAAGCACACCAGATCCAGCTTCTCCCATCATGGTATGGCAGTTGCAGAAAAACCTAAACTTGCTGAACATCTTCCTGCTGAATCAGTGTTTAGAAACCCTAATTAATGAAAAGGTCAATATCTCGGTTCAGTTTAACACAGGAAAGGCAAGTGGGAAAGTTCTACAGAACTGCAATTATCCAATTAACAGGGCTACACTTAATTTTTTGTTTGTTTGCTTTGCTGGTATTAATTATTCATGTGTAGTTTAGTTCAGCCCATTTCACAGTTTCATATTATTCTGAGGTTCATCAGTGAAATTAAATCGCACTGACAAAGTTCTTTGTGGGGAGGTGGAGGGGAAAGTCAAGTTAGAAACATCTTCCACATGTGCTGACGTGAATATTTCCAAGGATTCTGAAC